CCTGCCTGTGAATAGACACTCCTGCCTGTGAATAGACACTCCTGCCTATGAATAGACATGCCTGCCTGTGAATACACACTCCTACCTGTGAATACACACTCCTGCTTGTGAATACACACTCCTGCCTGTGCCGTCCCTGGCGTTACGTCATAAGCCTTTGATTCACATGTTGTGTGTTCAAATGTTTCCTTTACTTGTTTGTTTGTTTAAGTTTTGTTTTAACCCTTGCATGGCCCAAATGTGAATAAACATAAAAACCATTGTATTCTACAACAATGATGACCCCTTAAGAGCACTTGGGACTATAATGGTGGATGTTGGACTTTAACTTTTATAGAGCCTTAGCTGCTGGTGTGTTTTATGTGTATGAATGTTTGTATATAGCAGGGGCCCCGATGTTGTCCCGTCTGCTGGAAGCAGGGCCCACCCAGTTTTCCACTCCGTTAGGTTTTATGGTGGCTACAGACTCTGCCTCGGGTGTTTCTGTCTCTGCTGCCACTCCCGTTCCTGCAGACGCCACAGTCTCAGCAACTACAGGTTTGCTCACTTCTCACCTGTGCTAACCAAAGACTAAATGTGAAGATGCCAACATACGCAGAGAAGATCACAGTTGTGACAACATTAATATTTCTGGTTGAAAATGTACAGAGGTGGATGTGACGGCCCCGTCTGAGCAGCCGGAGCGCCATCCTGAATCTACAGAAGAAAAGGTGACGCAGCTCAGCGAGGAGGACGTGACCGTGTCCTACATGGGAGACGAGCTGGACCTGAAGACTGTGGGAGACATTATCGCTATAATTGAAGACAAGGTTCATGAATATTTATTTTAAAGTGGTTCATATGTTTGTTTGTTCACCAGCTCACTGGTAGATTTAGTGAATTTCTGCGCTATAAAACTACTTTAAAGATTTTGTCGTATTTCTTTGCCCTGCAGGCAGATGAGGCTGCAGAGGCTTTGGATGCAGCTGCAGTTGAAGCTGCTTTGTCCCTCTGTGAGGAGAATGTCCACGCCCTATCTGGATCCTGGGCAACCGGGCCATTCCATCCCCAAGAGCCTCACCCCACAGTGTCTGTGGTGGTCACACAGTCCTCATCCTTTCATCGCAGCCTGGAGGGGGGAGCAGACGCTTCGCTCTCTTCTCTGTACAGCAGTCAAGAAAACAACCTCACAGTGTTTCCTGTGGAACTGAGGAGCCTTCCTCTCAGCTCCTCATGCAGCTCAAAGACTTTGGAGCGCTGCCGCGTTGCAACACCTCCACAGGCCGATGCAACAAGAGAGACTAAGGAGGCAGGGGACCCTAACAAACAAGCTTTAATGGATGGCAGCAAAGAACGGGAAAGGGAAAATAAGCCACAGCAACTATATGAAAAAGACTATAGAGGTATGCACACTTAAAGGGATAATTCAGGTCTTCTGAAGTGAACTTCTGTGGAAAAGTAAAAAAAAGAAACAAATTACATTTTTGCAAAAATGAAGCGTGAATGCTGAGTGTTGAATGACTGCTGAAACTGAAATGTTAAAGCTAAAAGAAGTAGAACACTCAAATGTAGCAAATGCTATAATTTACAGGCTAGCTAAATGTAGAAAAAGCTAGCATTGAGTTAAAATAGCAAAAGAGAAGCTAAAATTAAAAATGGTCTAGCTTAAATAAATTATTAGCTCAAGTATCAAAAGGCTAACTAGAAGCTAAAAGCATTAGAATAGTACCTAAAAGCTAAAGGTACCAGAACGGTAGCTAAATGCAAACAGTAACAAAAAGCTGGTAGTTAACAGTAGCAAACAGTAACAAGTGATATCTAAATGTAACAAAAAGCTAGTAAAATAATAGCTAAAAGCTAAAAGTAGTAGAATATTAGCTAAAAATTTTAAATGGCATGAGACAAAAATAGAGCCAAGAATGCCGTAACAAAATTCAAAGATCATTTTTTCTTAAGAATTTAAGAGATTTCAATATATTTCTGTGGTAAAAATATTTGTACATAAAGTTAAATTTTATGAAAAGTATAAAAGTTAAAAGAACCAAAACAGTAAGAGTACAACAATCCACTTTAGACCTGGCTCCATTTGGACCAGCTGTTAGAGTGTCAGTTCGGTCATAATTAATCTATAACCTACAACAGGTAAGATACTGATTGTTCATAAATCTTCCACAGAACCCTACTTTTAAAGATCTTTATTGTTGCTTTAAGCAGAAGTGTTTGCATTAAAAGTAATTTTTAATGTGTTTTTTCCTGTTTTACTCTGTGTTGTCTTGGCAGACTCAGTATTAGAAGATAACTCACAGACTGACTGGCAGCCCGAGGTAAAAACACACAAAATGTTTACTATTGTTTTACTGACGTGCAGAGTGTCGAGCTCCACAGCATGATTCTCCATCTCTCCGGTACAGGAGGCAAAAGTGGAGGATGGAGTCAGTGCTGGCGAAGGGGAGGACTCCTCTGAGACCAAAGCAGACAGCGAGGTCATCGAGCCCGAGGTGTGCGAAGAGGACGAATGTGACGAGGTGGAGGAATTCTTCTCAGAACCAGACGGAGAAATGGAGCTAGAACCTGCAGCCAGTGAGAGCGAGGACGGCTACAGCCTTCACACGGCGTCCTCGTCTCTACAGCTCCACACAACCGCAGACTCAATCCCCAGCAGCCCCACCTCATCGCAGTTGTGAGTGGCACAAACTCAAACACAGTCTGCAGGGAAATCCTCATTTGTGAGATGGTGGTGACAGTTGCCTCCAAGATGGCGTCTCATTTTCTGCTTCCTTAAGACGTTTGCATGTCTTCCACTTCCTTCTCCTCTACCATCATGTTGCAGTTCGATGTGCAGCGAGGACCTGGAAGCTCTGCAGGCTCACAAGATCTGGAAGAAAGCCATAATGCTTGTGTGGCGCGCAGCAGCCAATCACAGGTCAGAGAGATTCATCTACAGCTACTGATACACATCTCATATACATTACCTGCATTTAATTTTGTGCCCTGAGGTGTAAATGAACAACATTTGAAAAAACTGAATTTAATTAGAAAAAACAAAACAACAACACAGCAACATTTGAAAAAACAGAATTTCATCAAGCCAAAGCGGAAGTGGCCGAAGCAGAAATGGCCAAAGCGGAAGTGGCCGGAATCACATTTGAAAAAAACGGAACTACATTTGAAAAAACTGAACTTCATTAAGCCAAAGTGGAATTAGCTGAGGCGGAAGTGGCCAAAACGGAAGTGGCCGAGCAGAAGTGTCCGCAATCACATTTGAAACAACGGAATTACATTTGAAAAAACTGAATTACATTAAGCCAAAGCTGAAGTAGCTGAAGCGGAAGTGGCCAAAGTGGAAGTGGCTGGAATCACATTTGAAAAAACGGAATTACATTAAGGCCAAGCAGAAATGGTGTTTTTTTTATATTTTTTTTTATGTTTATTAACAACATAAAACAACAGAACAATGTACAGTAACAAGTACAGTAACATATATTGTATTTTTTAATCCCTCATGAAAATTCATAATGAAATACCGCAAGTCTTTTATTTTTTTTATTTTGGATTCTCAATGAAAAAACAACTGAACAACTAGTACATGGATCCCACACCCTTCACGAGAGTTTGTATTTGTATCTTGTTACTGTATATTGTTCTGTTGTTAATAAAAAATTAAAAAAAACTTATGGTTTGGTCTAAAAAAGTTAAATCTGGTCCTCTGGACATTCAAAAAACAAAACAAAGCAAAACAACAAAAAAATGTAGAAACGTTTCGTCTCTCATCTGAGAGACTTCCTCAGTCTGAGGTGCTGTTTTCAGCTCAGTCTCTTAAATAGCACCTTCTCAGAGTGGATCAACCAAGCACAAACAGAGTAATGTTGTGTATGCTGTTCAGTGTCAGGAGGGCTGTGATCAGTCTTACATCGGGGAAACAAAACAGCCACTGGCCAAAAGGATGGCCCAGCACAGAAGATCAACATCATCAGGCCAGGACTCTGCGGTCTACACTCATCTCCAGGCCAGCGGTCACTCTTTCAGGGATGAAGATTTGCACATCCTGGATAGAGAGGAACGATGGTTTGAGAGAGGAATAAAGGAGGCCATCTTTGTGAAAAGAAATCGTCCATCGTTAAACAGGGGTGGAGGCCTACATGTTCAATTGTCCCCCTCTTACAATGCTGTGATTGCTAGTATCACTCAGCCCTCTGTGAACAGTAAACAGCCATCAGTGTGCTAATGATCCATTGTTAGGCTGATGGTCTTTCTTGAGCATGTGATCAGCTGGTTTTGGTCGTCAGCAGCAAAACTGGTTGATCCACTCTGAGAAGGTGCTATTTAAGAGACTGAGCTGAATACAGCACCTCAGACTGAGGAAGTCTCTCGGATGAGAGACGAAACGTTTCTACATTTTTTTGTTGTTTTGCTTTGTTTTTGTCCGGGTTTGGTGGACAGGAACGAACCCAGTAGTGCAGACAGGACTCAACTCGGCAGATTAAAAAACTAAATACTTTAATGATGAAATAACAGGTAACAAAACAATAAGCTGACGTGGCAGCCAAACTTACATAAATTAGAAGACCCAGGGGGAAACTCAAAAAGGACTCAGGAAGCTCAGGGAAGACTCAGGAGTCGCAGGAGAACACTGAAGACCCAACGAATACGACGCGACGAGGAACAAGACAGAATAGAAGGCTTATATACAAGGACAAGACGAGACGAGAATACCAACAGCTGTGACGAGACAAGGGTGACACCAATTAAACTGAAGAGGAAACACTAGGGAAACACAGACACAGAGCCAGCAAATTGTACCATCCTTACAGTTTTGTTTTTTTGAATGTCCAGAGGACCAGATTTAACTTTTTTAGATTTTTCTACCTGGATTATTGAGCATGCATCAGGACTTATGGTTTGGCTTAATTTAATTCCATTTTTTCAAATGTTGTGTTTTTGTGTTTTTTTCCAATTTAATTTCGTTTTTTGAAATGTAATTCTGTATTTTCAAATGTGATTCCGTTTTTTTCAAATGTTGTTCATTTACACCTCAGGGCCACCGTAGTTTCATTACTGAAACAGATCCGTCTGTGATTCTTTTGTAGGTATGCAAATGTTTTCCTTCAACCAGTAACGGATGAAATTGCACCTGGATACCATAGTATTGTGCACAGGTAAGCATGAGATGTATTTACCTTATGGGGAAAAATCAGCCACACATTTAATTTTTGCCTGTTTTTTAATTTATTTATTTTGGTGCAGTCAATAAACTTTTTTTTTTCTCACAAAACCCCCAAATCCTTCTTTTTTTCTTTTTTTGGTCCGACTTTTTTCAAACGCTCTCTTAACCTCACAGTAAATTCACTCTCCCATCTCTGAGGGGGAAAAAAAATGCTGCAAATACAACTTTTAATACCATATTTATCATATAAAATAATGCATTCCTCTCAGTAATGTTTTTTCTTTTTACCTCTATCCCTATACTTTAGATGTTTATATTAGCTCACTAGGTGGCACTCTGCTTTTATGTTTAAGAGCCCCTGAAAAAAATTCCCTCACCCCAGAGGAGGAGACGCCTCATTCCTGAACGGACGTCTCTGCAGAGTTGTGCATCTCATCTTGTTCAACAAAATTGTTGTAGTTTGGATGTACAGAGTAAAACCTCACTTGCAAGTACGTTGAGTACAAGAAATATGTTTCACATGCATGCGGGCTGCAGAATCAGACCGCTCCACAGCTGACAGCCATTGGTTTCGCCCAAAGCAGGACGTTATTAGCGGATGCACCGTCCTCTTGCAGCTCGCTCTTATATCTGTGTTAGGAAAAGCCTAAATAAATTCTAGCATTTCTACCACAGGCAGAGTTAAAAAATAAATAAATACAAACCCTCCGTGTTTGGCCACCGAGGGACAAGAGTAAGTTTGACCGAAAACAAGGCAGTCCTGACTGCTGGATCTGAAGCATCTGGTGGGCTGGAGGATCCAGACTGGAATTTTTTTGGAATTGTCAAAAATCATTTTTGGACATACTAATGTTAAAAAATCAATCAATCAATCAATCAATCAATCAATCAATCAGCCTGCCTACCTAATCCATACATCCATCTAAAATTGCCATCAAATATTTATTTGTCTATTTAAAACAAACTGAAATATGGGAAAATAATTTAAACAGAAGGCCCTTAAACAGGAAAAAAAAAATTGTCATAATTTTTTTTTATTTCAGCCTGAGCCAGCTCTAAAAGACTGACTAGTATTTTTTGTGGAACCAAATATTTAAAAAACAGTATTTTGAAGCAGTTAAATAAGGTGGTGGAAGTTTCCCCTCAGGAACAGTCATAAAGTGAAAGAGACCTTCAAAAACCTAAAAGTAAAAAAACAAACATTTGATACCACAGACTCAACAGCCATCTTTGCTCTTCTCCACAGGCCCATGGATCTGGCCACCATCAAAAAGAACATTGAGATGGGTTTGATCCGGACCACCGCTGAGTTCCAGAGGGACATCATGCTGATGTTTCAGAACGCAGTCATGTACAACAGTTTGGACCACGACGTGCACCACATGGCTCTGGAGATGCAGCGGGACGTCCTGGAGCAGATCCAGCAGTTTCTGGCCACCCAGCTCATCATGGAGACGTCCGAATCCGGCATCAGCGCCAAGAGCCTGAGGGGCCGCGAGAGCACGCGCAGACAGGACTCCACTGACAAGGTGCTTCATTAGAAGTTACACAGAAATGGAGACTAGGTTGAGGCTTCCACTTGTCATGACAATCAGCCAGCTGGAATTTACCATTTGATAACATAATTTAATTTGTTTGGAGTTAAAACTCAAATAAAGGGAGTTCTTGGTTTTCATCTATACCACCAAAATGAATACTTTATCAGCCTTTCCAAACATACTTTATCCACCTTTTTCTGCCTTACTTGAATTATGAGGCACGATTTCTGGCACGAACCAGAACCGGTGTTTGCTTATGTGGAATGGTACGAGCTAATGTAGATTCTCTGAACATTGTGGATGTAATTTTAACATGTAGGAACACCACCTGTCAGTGCTCAGACAGGACAATATAATCATACCACTGCCTTCTGCAGACAAGGGATGGAGGACGACCTGACCTGAAGAAGTGGCTGCAGATTACATCTACTAGCATATTTAGCTACATTTGTACTTACACTAGCATATTTAGCTAATTTCACTAGCATATTTAACTACTTACACTAGCATATTTAGCTACTTATACTAGCATATTTAGCTACTTATACTAGCATATTTAGCTCACAATAACAATAATGTTTATTCACTCAAATTTAAATTTTAAGTTGAGTAGTAATGCCTTAAAATTCTACGGTTTTATAAACCCTTCCTACACTCTTACAATGTTCTAAACTCTTAAACCTACATCATTTTAACAACATACATGTGTACTGTACAGTACAGCAGAGTTTTACTCACCAGCTCTGCAGAACACAGTAGCTCGGTTCCGGTCCGGCTCGGTTCAGGATCAGCAGATCTTCCCAGCCTTAGTCTGGTTCGGATCAGCTCTCTGCAGCCCTTGAGCAACAAGACACTTTTAGAGAGAGTTGGACCTTTGGATAGCCAGCACAAAACCACAGAGCGAGTCCAAATCCAATAGAAAAAAGTCCCAGTGAGCTCCGGAGAAAACACAGGACCTCCAAGCAACACCTCCCCGCTCGAGAGGCCTCATGGGCCGGCAAGCAGCACTCAAATGGCCTATGAGGCTGGAAGTCTGGTTCTAGTTCAATTCCCGGTCGGTTCTGTTCGGCTCTTTGCATCCACTGAGCGCTGAAGTCACTATGAAAAAGAACCAAACTTTTTCAGATTGGATCAAAACTCTCCCTCCATTTCGACCTACGTCGACCGGGTAGGCCGGATCCTTTGAAGGATGCAGCCGTTGGACTGGGACACAGCACATTTCAGCAGAAAGCAACTTTGCCTTTTGGAAGTGCACTGTTGGCGTCTGGGTAATGTAGTCCTTTAGACTGGCGATGGTGTAGGCTGTTTTTTTGCCATGTACAATCTTACAGTACAGAACTTTGAAAGACCGTGAAAGAGTGAGTCCACAAAAGTCAAATTGTGAAGTAGCGAGGGACTACTGTATTCTCGTCACACTGTTTTCAATCCTTCTGAGGATCCGGTGTCTCTTCTCCGGTGCTTTATTGTAGTCCAGCCACAAAGTAGGATGCAGGTTTTCCTCCATCGGCTGTGTGTCAACAAAGTGAAATGAGCACACATACAGTGTTCTGGGTGGTCTCTTAAAGTTCAGATTCTTCAGCCACATTCTTCTTCTTAATTCCTCTTCTGTAGGTAGGAGATGGAAAGTATACCGCTTTCACAGGAACACTTTTTTTGTTTTGGGTCCGTGTTCAGATCATCGTTGTTGTAGCCACTGATTTAGTTTGGTCTGGTTGTTCGTGCAGCCGCGAACAGCACAACAGGTACCTGAACTCAGCACAGTTATTTTAGTAAACTTTATGGTTGTTAAATAAATGTGAACAAAACAAAAACAGTGTTTTATCTGCTAACCTGAATGCTAATTACTTTCAAATAAACCACAGTCCATGCTCTGCCACTATGGTTAACCAATGCTCACTGCTACTTCCTGTGTCTGACAGGAAGTTTTACACATAATCATGTTTACAGTCGAGCCCCCAGGAATAAGGTGGATAAGTAAAGAAGGTGATTGTATAAGCTCAGGCAGCGTGTCAAAAATTGACTTTAAAAAAGTTTTGAACTCACTGCAGTGATTGAATAACAAGATAAAGCTAATCTTGTTCGTGCTGTAAGTTAATGTAAAGAATAATTTCCAGCAGTAGCTCTTGTTATTGGAGTTTGTCTGAAGAGCAGGTTGTATTCAATTATTTATTACATCTCTCAGCTGCTCACAGCTCTGATGGACGTCATTTGTTTTCTACAGGACTCTGTGTCCATGTCTTCACCTGCCTTCCTCCTTTCTCTCTTTGTAAGTAATCCTTCTTCATCCTTTTATTCTCACAGGAGCAGACAATGACGTTGAACTTTAGCTGAACTTAGCTTTATATTTTAAAGCACTATTTAATTTAGAGAAATGTCACTTCCTGTGAAAACACAGTGTGAATGTTTGTTGCTGAATGATTTTAGCTGAAAGCTGCTGAAGAAGCTGAAACCAGCTGAAAAGTTTTCACAGCTAAACTGTTGAGAGTTGAATTTGAACAGCTGACATTTGATGAAAGCAGGAAAGTAAAAGCAAAGAAAGAGGAAAAAAATCCAGCAGAAATGTGTAGAAAAAGCTGAAACAGGCAGAGGTTGAATAGATTGCAAAAAAGATGAAATTAGAAAAAAGAAAAGTAGCCGAAAAACTAAAAAAAAATAAACCCCTGAAATTGTCAGAAAGAGGCTGAAAAGAGCATAAAATGTTTAAATTATTTAAACAGAATTACAAAAGGTGGAGATTAACCAACAAATTGGATGACAGTCTAGAATTAGCAGAAAAACGCCTGAAACGTAGCTGAAAATACAGAAAAAATATTAATTTAATGGAAAGAAGCTGAACAAAAGCTGAAATAAGTGGTTAAAGATGGCACAAAGGATGTGAGGAGAGCTCTGTACATTTTCAATGAGAAATATTGAAGAATAATAATAATACTAATAATGTCATTACATTGTCATCACTGTATGTTTCCATACAATGGCAAAATTAGTCTCTGCATTTAACCCATCCACCACCAGGTGGTGCAGTGGGCGGCTATTGAGGGCACCGGGGGGCATTTTGGGGATGGGGTGTGCTGCCCAGGGACACTATGGTGTGCAGTGACCAGGTTGACGGTGCACGGGGTGTGCAGTGACCAGGGATTGAGCCTGGGACTTTCGGGTCCCAATCCGGCTGCCCTGCCTCTACACCATCTTGCCCCCCATATATTTATAATTAAATTTGCACAAATACTAAAAGTGGGAGCAGGAATGTCCTGAACGAGCTGAACATTTTGAGACATGAATTGTTGAAACAGAACAAGAACTAAGGAACAAGCTGAAAATCGGATATTAATAGTTTGGAAACGTTTACAGGACGAGCCGAGTTTAAACCAAACTTTTTGTTGGTTGCTGCAGGATGGTGGCACCAGAGGGCGCCGCAGTGCCATAGAAGCTGACCTCAAGATGAAGAAGTGAAGAGTGGGAGTTTCATCCAGCAGCTTGTGTTGGAGTGGCGGACTGAGATTGTTGCTCAGCTGCACGGGTTCAGGCCGAGCTCTGCCGGGTCATCTGCACTTACTCTCCAGACATGATCGGACTGCAACACGGAAGGGTTCATTTCATCCGAGACATGGAGTCCATTTGTTTGTTCCCAAGTTACTGTGGGGAGTTAAAACTTTTCCTAAATGTAACAGCAGATCACCGTAACTGGCTCTGCCATCATCAGGACAGAACCAGTAATTCAACTGGATTAAGTCACCCATTCAGACTGAATTAATGAGTGCCCAAGTCCTGGTCCTGCATGAGAGGATAAGTTACTCTGTACTTAGTTACAGTCTGTTCCTCCCAGAGTAATGTGTTTGTTTTAGATCATATAAAATCAAGAGTTGAAGAAACTGGGAGATCCAGATCATTTCAAATATGAAAGACTTTGTTTGTCTGTGTGTGAACTGATTTCGTCTTTGTGACTGTACAACACCTGGGAGAAGATTTGTTTGGAGTCCAGAATGCTTTGGAGAAAATATAGCATTTATAAATTTTGTGGACTCAAAAGCATTAACAAAATAAAACCGTGAATATTTAATAGTCTTGTGAGATTAAAGTTGTTCAGAGTTTAACTGCACTACAAGTGAGAAAAAGGAAACCTCCAGGTTTAACATTTCCTTACATCCTCAACTCGTCGTCACCATCTGATGAAGGTGTAACGACAATTAAAAGGTTTTTAATTTCACTTGTCTGATGTTACTAATATTATGACTTTTATTAAATCATAAAAAACATCTCGTTTTAATCTTATCAAGCACTTCGTCCTCACTTTTGAGTCTTAATCATTTTCCTGTGAAGTTTGTTTTTCCCCCAAAGCTCAGTCTAACTCCTGGGTCGAAAATAAAAAACTATTAAAACGCTGTGTCTGCTAAATAAAGAGGGTGGTGTTGTCTTCCTTTTTTTAATTTTTTTTTTATTATTTTTTTTTATTTTTTAGCTCAGTTTAAGTGTAGAAACATTGTGAAGTGTTTCAATGAACTTATCATCATAGCTCAATTTTATTTTATTTTTTTAAAGAGAAGAAGAAGAAAAATAAATAAATAAATAAAAGAGAAATAGATAAAACGAGAGACCACCACGACAAAACAACATGCACAGCACAATGCCACCCACAATATCACCATGAAACATTTGACATGGCACAAGGAATCATCTAGCTTCCACCACTACCCAACCTAGCGTGCATCTGTCAAAGCACCTGAATCCAAACACCCGCGCAAGCACGCCCGCCACCACCAGATTTCTCCAAAAGAATGCCCAATAGTGGATGCGGGGACCCACAGACCCGCCCCCCCAGGACACAATGGCAACACAGGGAGGACCGGAGCCACAGACACACAGCGGCCCCCAGGCCCGGAGCCCCAGGAGTCTCCCAACAGAGAACCACACCCCCCCAGAGAGGAGCAGAGGAAAGAACCAGGTGACCCCAGCAACCACAATGCAGAGCCTCCAGGAAGCTGCAGCGACGAGCCCACAGGTCCGGCCGGCAACCCATG